GAGCATCTGCAGTTCCATTCTTAGTTTCAATTTCACTACCTTCACCTCCTTCATGCTTTAACCATCTTGACGTCGGACCACCGCCATTTCTTCTAGTTTCTTCCCTAATCTTATTAGACCAACCTCTAATTCCAGTATCTTCCTCCATGGCAAAATGGATTTCACATCTTTGCTCCGAGTGTCCCAAGATACCACAGACAAAGCAAAACAAACTATGTTTTTTGTATTTGAAGTGAACTGTGCACCATTCTCCACCTTTGTTCTTGACTCTATTATGTTTCTTTAACGGCTGTTGGACATCAACTCTCACTTTCAGCCGCATATATTGACGCCAAAAGCTCAAGTTGTTGTTCTTGTCATACTCCATAAACGTGCCAATAAAATTTGCCATTGCTTTCCCAACCTTTTCCAGCATAAGCCCCGCCAGAAGATTATGGACCTGAACCCAAATCTCGACATGAAAGAGAGGAATATTCTCAATTTGGACTCCCACTTTCACCCTTTCAATTATAAGTAGGTGGTTGTAAAAGGCCCAAGGACCTCCCTTTAAAGCCGCCTTCATTTCTAGATGATGAGAGAAATGAAATGTGAACAATCCTTCCTTCGCTTGTTTGATCGTAACCCCCTTTACCGGCCGCCACATATCTGCTACTTTCACCTTCATTGACCTCACATGAATAGGTCTGTCACACAAGAATCTTCCCACTAAACACCACCGTAAGTCACATGCCTCCACTCCTTCCTCCTTCACATCAAAACAAAACCCTTCCTCTTCTAGTGATAAGCCCTCAATGTTAGGATTCTCCATTGTTCAGTAATACGAAAGATCAGACCGATGAACCAGGAAAAGAAAAGGAAAACAGCTTTTCAGTAGGAGAAGAAAACCAAAACCTAGCAGAGACTAGGAGAAGAAAACCTTATAAAGTTAAAAAAAAACAAATATTGGCCAATACAAATTGAATACTAAATAAGTAATTTTAGTAGTCCTTTGTTATATCAATTTTGGATTTTAGCAGAGATTTGGAAAAATGGCAAGTTAACATTTCAATTTTTCATCAATTTTACTTAATGAGTAGTCCTTTGTTATATCAATTTTGGATTTAGATTCATTTGTTGAAAGATTAAACTTGATTGGGGCCTAAATATGTTATTTTGTATTTAGTTAATTTTAATTAATGTTTCTAGAAAACTTTAATGTTTGGAGTATTTAGATATTTTTTAGGGTTGTAATATTTTCTAGAATGCTCTTGGAATTCCTAGAGTTGAGAACTCTTTAGAATTAGTGTGTCTAGAGTTTTCCTTAGAGTACTGTAAATAGAGATGTAATTCTACACTTTTGCATCAAGCAAAATACAAAGTTCTTTCTTCCATAAATAATTCTCCTATTTATCAAGTTTCTAGTCAAGCCTCTAATATTCCCACACACTTTCACTTAACACAAAAGGCTTTATTTCCAACAAAGTGGCATCAAAGCTTGAAGGTCCTCAAAAGATGGCGAATTGATGTTTTCCTTTTCAAATGTCAATGCTCACAAAGAACAACTATGACAATTGGAGTATCAAGATGAGACGCTACTAGGAGCTCAATGTGTGTGGGATATCGTTGAGAAAGACATTAAGGAGCAAGATGAAGTCTTCTTAAGTCAAGGTATAAAGGAGACATTGAAGGAGTCAAGAAAGAGAGACAAGAAAGCTCTCTTCCTCATTTATCAATCGGTGGATGAAGATACATTTGAGAAGATCTCCAATGCAACGACCGCCAAAGAAGCATGAGACAAGCTTCAAACTTGCAACAAAGGAGTGGAACAGGTGAAAAAGATTCGTCTTCAAACTCTTAGAGGTGAGTTTGAACGTCTATTTATGGAAGAGTCTGAGTCAATTTCTGATTATTTTTCTTGAGTATTGTCCGTAGTCAATCAACTTATAGAAATGGTGAAGATGTTGATGAGGTGAAAGTCATGGAGAAAATACTTCGCACTTTAAATCCAAGTTTTGACTTCATTGTTACCAACATTGAAGAAAACAAGGATTTAAACACCATGACTATTGAGCAACTTATTGGTTCCTTACAAGCATACGAAGAAAAACAAAAGAGAAAAACTAAACAAAGGGAGACTATGGAGCAACTACCCCAACACGGTCGTCCGCAACGAAGAAGGTGACCACAAGAACGGGCGCACTACCTCTCCCTTCTTAGAAGACGTGACCTACAACGTCGTCCAACGCTTAGACAGCCCGACTGCCTACCAGCCCATCCCGGTCCCAGCTGGCGTCGATACTACCGTGATAGCTCTATTCGCGGAAATCAACCAGACCAACTTGATGATCTTCGAGCAGAACGATCGGGTAGGGATGCTTGAGAGGAAACGAACATCACGCTTTCCCCCGCGGAGACACAGTCGCCCAGTTTCCGTAAGCTCGTCCCCTCCCTGCGGAGACGTCAGTGCCTGGTTTCCATCAAGTCGTCTCCTCCACCGCGGAGGATGCGGTTCGTCGAGGAGTCACGAAGTCCTTCTCCTCTGCCCACGGGACGCTGCCTTTGTTTGGAGCGACCTCAACAACTAGTTTCCAACAAACAGAAGGACGAATATGACGAATCTAAAAACATGAAGAGAGATTTATTTTCTGCAAATTTTAACCGTAAAATTAATATAAAAATCAAATTTTAATTGTGTTAAATGTGTTTTTTTTAATAATAATTTATTTTTAAAACAAGTAAAAAATGCTTACATGACGCCACTGTTGGAATGCCAAGTCATTAATGAGAATGTCACATGTGCAAAAGTCAATTGGACCAAATAAATCCCAAAGAAAGTGAAGTATAAAGACCAAAAGGGTTAGTTATGAAATGGGAGACCAAAAAATTAAAATCACCTAAACAAGGGGATTAGGAGATCAAAAGTGCATTTAAGTATAAAATTAATTTATATCCTCTTATAGTTTTCACAAGACAAAACATATGAAATTAAAAAGATATGATCCCACAATTTTTAATTTTTTTTTCATTTTTCCTCTTCCTTACTTCTCTCGAAACAAAATAGAGAATTTATTATTTAGGATAATCACCTTCTACACTCATGCGCACATAATCACACGCGCGCGCGTGTCTCACACGCACACGCGTGCGCGCACGCGCGCACATAAACACACACACACACACACACACACACACACACATATATATATATATATATATATATATATATATATATATATATATATATATATATATATATATATATATATATATATATATATATATATATATATATATATATATATATAACCCACAATTTCAAGTTTTATTAAATAAATTATAGTTGTTGGAAAATGAGACAAAATTTTCAAAAAAGAAATGAATAAAATTTGGAGGTTTTGTTATCCCACCTCCCCCAACTTAACCTAACACATATATTTACCTATTTCAGAAATTGTGTGTTTTTTGGATTTTTGAAAAATATCTTAGTTTTTATCACATTTTTGAAGAATTTCATTAGCTTTTATCAGATTTTTTGGGATCAATGAAGTTTTACCAAAATTTTTAAAAATTATCAAATTTAAACTACTAAAATTTTCAAAATCCTTGAATTTTTACCGAATTTTTCAATAAAGTATGAAAACTTACTCGATTTTTCAAAAAGTTTGATTTTTAAACATGATTTTTCAAAAAATTTATGAATTTTTACCGGATTTTTAAAAATAATTTATGTGTTTTTACCGAAATTTTCAAAATACACTACGGAATTTTTCAAAAAACTATGAGTTTTTAATGGATTTTTTTAAAAAAAATATGAGTTTTTACTAGAGGTGGCAAAATGGATGGATTGGATGGATATGGATTAGTCCATTAACAATCCACTAAAATTTTCTTAAAATTATTCCATCTAATACATCTATTAAAAATAAAATTCATCAATTAACATATTTTTAATGGATGGATATTCATCCATCCAACTTTTTTTTAATTTCGAAAACATAAACGTATTTTTTTTATTTTAAATTTTTTTTTATAATATATTCATGAAAAAAATTAAATTTTTTGTTTAAAAAACTCATTTTTTGTATTTTCAAGAAAAAATTGATATTTTAATTTTTGAAAAATATCGCTTTTTTTGGGAAATTTTGAATTTCTTGTATTTTCCAGAAAATTGATATTTTAATTTTTAAAAAAATCGATTTTTTTCGGAAAGAAAATCAATTTCTTTTATAAAAAAAAATCAGTTTTTTGTTTCAGAAAAAAATCATTTTTTATGTGATAGATGGATTGGATGAATTTTTTGATCGATGAATTTGATGAATTTTGTCTTAATAAATCCAATTCTTTTTTAATAAAATTTCATTTTTTAATTGAAAAAGAAATCAATTATTTTCTTTTAAAAAATCTATTTTTAATTATTTTTTAAAAGATAAATCTAACGAAAATAAAAATAAATAATTAGATCTTTAAAATATGTTGGATGGATTGAATACATCAATGCATATAAATGGATGTATTTAATTCAATCTATTAACTTATTTTTATGTGATAGATGAATTGGATGAAATTTTTTGATAGATGAATTTGATGAATTTTGTTTTAATAAATCCAATTGTCACCTTTAGTTTTTATCGTATTTTTAAAAAAATTCGGTATTGTACTGAATTTTTTTCCGAAAAATCCAATAGTATTAATTTCTGATTTTTCGCCTAACAAAACGAACTACCACATTTAAAACATACCGAATTTTTCAAATTGCATTACCGATTTTTTTTTCCGACTCTTTTTAGTTAAATTTTAACAAGGATCTTTTTACTATTATAACTATATGCAGGGGTGTCAGGTAAAACTTGGGTTGGTATTCAAAAAGTTGGTAGAGAAGCCCCAACAATTTGGCCCAAGACATTCCAAAAACAAAAGAAAAAAAACCCGAAACCTAACTTTCATTTTCATTCCTATATACACAGAATCGATCATCGCCGTCACAGAACAGGGGTGAAACTCGAGAACACAGAAAAGCCATAATGAAGTTCAACCCTAGGGTTTCCAGCAGCCGCCGCAAGAGCCGCAAGGCCCATTTCACAGCCCCATCAAGCGTTCGACGCGTCCTGATGAGCGCACCCCTCTCCGGTGACCTCCGATCGAAGTACAACGTGCGTTCATTGCCCGTCCGTAAAGACGACGAAGTGCAGGTTGTTAGAGGAACCTTCAAGGGACGTGAAGGAAAGGTTGTTCAAGTTTATCGCCGGAAATGGGTGATTCACATCGAACGCATAACACGTGAGAAGGTTAATGGTTCAACTGTTAATGTTGGTGTTAACCCTTCCAAAGTTGTTATCACTAAGCTTCGTTTGGATAAGGATCGTAAGTCTTTGCTTGATCGGAAGGCTAAGGGTCGTGCTGCGGCTGATAAGGAAAAGGGTACTAAGTTCGCTCCTGAAGACATTATGCAATCAATTGATTAGTTTCTCTGGTTATGCTTTTCTTTATAATCCTATTGCTACTTCTAGAACTTAATTTTGTTATGTTTTTGTGGTTTAGATCTGAGATATTTCAGAATTTTGAAAATTTTATGGTTTGTTTAATTTGAAGAAATGTTTGACACTATCACTATTATAGTTTGTTGATTTTCTGTTTTATTTATATATTTTTTTACCCAATTTCATTGTTATTGTTATGTGTAGATCCTTTGCATTTAGTGGTAGAGATTAGATTGTTGAGTTTAGTTAGTGTTACTTGTTAGGGGCAGAGCCTAGATTGTCGAGTTTGATTAATTTTAGGATTAGAGTTTACCAGAATTGTCTTATGTTTTAGTGGCAGAGCTAACCAGAATTGAGTTATGTTTTCAGTTAAACTACGTTTTCAAGTTTTTGATGAGTATTTATATGTATATTATAATTCAATCTTCAACTGTGATGGGATAGAGCCTTTTGCGCAGTGGCAATGTTTTATGCCATCAAGCTTTGTTCTGATCGTATGGATGGTGTTTGATGCTGTGATTTGCTCCTGCTCTCAAATTGCTTTAATATTCCCACTGCATTGGCCACAAGCAGGTTAAACGTTTGAAACTGTTAACTTTCCTTCTGACCTGGGGAGACTTGGGAGATCTGAGCGAGGTTTAGGGTTAAGTATAGTTTGTACTACTTGATTCCGATCCGCTAGTTAGACTTAATAGTAAACTGTGGTTCTTTATGGATAGTACCTTGGCTCAGTCCAGAACCCCCCTCTTTTGATTTATCAATAATTCAAGTTTGCAATCATGGTCTTCTGACTGTTCTAGAAATGAAGGTTTACATGCTTGATATGTGGTTGACTTTAATGGAAGTTTGAATCAACTTGTTCTAATATCTGAACAAACTTCAAGTTAAGAGGCTTTTGTTGAATAAATGGCTGCTATTAGTTTGCATATTGAAATTCTATTCCGTGAATTGCTGTGTGATAGTGGTTTGGTATAGTTGTAAGAATATTAGCACTTTGATGACTGCAACTTTAGTTGTGTTGTATGTGCTTGCTGTTAGTTGGAGAATTAGTTTTGGTTGTGCCAACACTTACTATTAGTTAATGAAGTTTTCATTTAGTTATTTCTGTTGCAACTTGGAACTTCAATATTGTTTACATGCAATCTTTCTACTTTTTCGTGTCCACTGTTTTAATCATTTTGGACATTCAATCTTTTATCGATGTTGAAAAATCTTTCCCCTGTTCATGTGTATGGCTATTGTTTGTTTGTATGTCTAATTTTGATATTGAATGGAAAAGTTACATTATGATAGTTAAAAAATTTTGCGCCAATAATTTGTGCTAGTTTGGTAGCCAAATTATATGAGCAGGGTTTGTTTCCTCAAGAAAATTGAACCAAACCAATACATGGTGATGAACCATTTTCAAATTTATCCTAACTGTATCTGTAGATAATAAACTTCTTTTTATAGGTGCCACTCTTTCTTGTTAATCATGAAGTAGTTTGATTCCTCATCTCTCATAAGGAGAAAAAAACCTGTAATATGAGATCCTGGATTTTGTACCAATGATTAGGGCGGTTAAAAAAACCATGAATTGAATCGAACAGAAGTTAAAATAACTGAACCGTTATTTGTTTAATGAACTAAACCATATTGTGTAAAACGGTTCTAGAATCGAACCGAAATTATAACTGAATAGAAATTGAAACCAAATCAAAACTGAAAATGAAAAATATTAAAAGTAAGTTTTAAATTTTTTTTAAATACATTGAACTAAACCATATTGTGTAAAACGGTTTTAGAATCGAACCGAAATTATAACTGAAATTAAAAATAAGTTTTAAAATTTTTTTAAATACATTGATAAATAGTTTAATGGTTCGGCTTTTTAAATAAATGATTTGGTTCGGAAAAAATTGTCTTCTAATGGTTTGGTACGGTTTGAAATTTCTAAATGGTATACCAAATCAATTATTTTGGTTTGGTTCGGTTATGAGAAAATTAAAACGGTTCGATTCAGTTCAAATAAATTTTTACTATGGTTCGATTTGATTCAATTTTCTCACTAAACTGAACCGGAAATAGCCCTACCAATGATGTATCATGCATAGAAAAACAGTATGTTCATTCCATTTAGGATTTGTTTTGGAGTTGTGAAGGTCTATGTCTGTATTTTATTATGTATGTTATATTTTTTAAAAATTAAAAACACAAAATGATATTATATGTTAATATATCATTTTCTTTTTTTGCAAAATTTTAATTATGTACTAAAATATAAAGATAGTCATCTAACGACCTTACTTTCAAAAAACTTTAAAAACTAACTCACAAAGAGACCCAAAACTAATTCATAGACCCTTAAACTTTCAGTTGACAAATAAATTCTCTTCAAAACCTATCTCATATACAGATCCTTAAGGTTGCAGATGATTAACAAATTCTTCAATCTTTATTTTCATAGTGGATATTTGATTTGGAAGGTAATGAGATTTGAGAGTGAAGTTGATAATAAATGAATGTGAGCGAGTTAATTGAAAAATGTAATTCGATTCAATGGAGATACAGTGTGTATCGTACACTATTGTAGTTCATTTCAATTAATTGTGGAGAATTTTTTAAGGTATTTATGGACTTCTTACGTACCATTTCTATATATGTCTTTTGATTTTAGAGAATATTTTCAGACGTACCATAATTTTAGAAATATATTTATAGACGCACCAAAACTCAATTAAAAGTTGAAATATTTCGGAGATATATCTTTAGAACAATTTGAAACATATTATCGCGACACACTCTTCTCCTCTCACACCTTTTCAATTCATTCACAAACTTCTTCATCTCTCTCATTCCTAAATTTATAAAACTTTGTCAAATTTGATTTCTTCCGTTCGAGGCTCAAGTAATGATCAAGCAGCATCCAATGCATCATTCAACATCATCCGAATAATATAATTCAGGTAAATTTTTCGAGTTTCCGATAAATATTCGAGTATTTCTGTAAACAAGTTAGAATGCATTGTTAGGTGTAGAAATGTTTAGATATCAGTTGAAACATAGTTTAGAGTTAGTGTATGTATTGTTTGTTGGCTGAAATGGACGATCAAGACTTTAAATTTCTCATTCTGAGGGACAGAGGTTGTCATTGTCGCGACCTTTGAGTTGCAGAAATTTTCGTAGATACATCTCTGGAAAAATTCAACGTTTCATGCAATTTGGTGATTCTAGAGATACATTTGCGAAATGTTTTCGTAGATGTATCTCCAGAATCATCTTAATCTGTTTTTTTTCTTTTTGTTTTATAATTTTTGTTGTTGTGATGATTCCAAGGCTAATTTGACGTTGCAGGCATAATGGCTGACAAAGCAGACCGATTGAGACATGAACGGGTTTCCCAACACACATCCGTTAGACGAGAGCGGAGTCATCTGGGTTCGGATGCAGCAGGTACCTCTGGTCAGGGAGAGGCGTCGACTGCTGGTGTACAATATACTTCTGAGGCTCAGTCCACTCCTAGGATTCAACCTTCACCTCAGGCCCTCCATCTACATCTCAGACCACTCCAACTACATCTCATCTCACTCCATCTACATCTCAGCCCGTTCCACCTTCTTCTTCTTCTTCCTGCAGACCACGAGATACATCAGCCGACGCGTCACTTCCTCCATCCTCCCGTAGGCGGCGGGATGCACCAGTACCACCTCATGTTGATTTGGTGCCACCTCCTGTTGATTTGGTCCCACATGCTGATCATGTTGCACCGGTGCCACCTCTGGAGGGTGATGTTGCTGATGCTAAGCTAGATGCTTTCGAAGGGGGTCCATCTGATATGTCCCTACTTCCTCTGTACCCAAACCACACTACCAGACATATTTTGGATGGAGAGGTAACATTAGTCACATTGTTACTATATTTTTTTACGTCAATTTAAATTGCTAACATTCATTATTTCTAACATTGATTCCTATAGATATTGATTATTTCTGGAAATTCGCAGATGCGTGGTCCCCAGAAGTTTCTGAATCATGGGCGGAAGATTTTAGCATTGCATCAGCCTGATGAGGAGTGGTTTCAGTCAGTTCGGACCACTTCTAGGATGAGTGATCTATGCTTAACCGATTTCACTCTAGTCAACCACAAGATGCTTAATGCATTCGTGGAGCGATGACATTCTGAGACATCTTCCTTTCATGTCTCGCATGGTGAGATGTCGATTACATTGGACGATGTCTCGTTTTTATTGCATCTACCAATCAAGGGGAGATTCCTCTATCATGGTAGGATGACCAAAGACTAGGCGGTCGATATGATGGTGGAGCATCTGGAGGATGATCCAGGGAAGGCGCTCAAGGAGGTGGATAGGACCAGGGATGCTCATGTTAGGTTTTCATTCTTGAAGGAGAGATTTGATGAGGCGCTCGTTGCTGCAGAGCAAATTGATGGTGATGCCAGGAAGTGGCCATACACAAGACTCATGCTTTGAGGTGTTATTTTTTTTTATAGTTGGCACTGTGATTTTTGTGGACACGAGTTCCACCTAAACTAACGTTGCATACCTCGAGTACTTATTTGATCAAACATGGATCCATGAGTACCACTGGGGGGCGACATTCCTTTCATATCTATATTTGAGACTAAGAGATGGATGTCAGTGGAGGACGGAGCAGATCACAAGCAGCACGACACTACTGGTGGTAATAATTTTTTATCCTTGAATGTTTTTTTATCTTTATTATTTCATATTTGCGATGATTCTTGATCCCTAAATGCTTTTTATTTTCATTTCAGGTTTGGATCCTCCAGCACTTCCTGTGCATCGCTGACTGGTCGTGTTGGAATGAGTACATTGAGGAGATTCCTCGTGCATGTGCTTTTATCCCGCTGAGAGGGAACTAGGCGGTTGAGTCTTTTAGAGTCTATCTTGACCGCCTGGCTGCTGAGGACATCCACTTCAACTGCTACGTGGATCACTGTTAGACGCGACCATTTGACGATATATT